GTAGCCTGCATATGATGTGTTAGTAACAGTATTGGTGATATTGTAGGAGGGGGCAAGGATGTAGATACCTGTGTAGTCTTTGATGCGGACCCAGAGATTACTGGTTAAATGGTCGCTTTTCAATCGTAGAGGAGAGGAACTATTTACAGTGACGGTTTCGTGGGTTTCTGGTGCGTAGGATGTGCCTGCGGTGACTTTCAGGCGGTGGTTCTGGGGAGGGGCGCTGGAGAACATGTTTGGTAGTGATTGGAGATGTTCTGAATTATTTACACAGATAGTATGACTTCAGAAATTATCGGTCAGTACTTAATTGTATTAGAATTTTTCAAGATAGTAGTGATTCTGTGCTTCATACCAATGGTCTAGAATGTGTGGAGTAGCTTTCTACCTTGGAGTCTTTAAGCCGTTAGCTACCGGGAATGACGTAGTGCATCTCACTTTAATCCAGAATTAGATATGACGCATAGTTATGCAGCGTTAGTCATACATAATTATGCAGGTCCCCTCTGAATTAGATTGCGGGTGATCATCTCACCCACCACTCTATCATTGTACAATAGCGAAAGCATCGCATAATAAAGTCGACAGGGCAATGGCTAGAACATCCCCTATTTACATAGGCAAGATGACCCTGAAAAATCAAGTCTATGTCCGACCTGAGTGCAACCCTGTTTTGCGCTTCGCCCCAGCCACGGCACCACAGTGACACTATCCTGATATCATACTTACGCGCGAAGTCAATTAGCTAGCCCTGCAACCTTAATATCTTCCGCCAACGCACCTTAGAACAACACTTCTATCTCTGTTCAAACCTCAGAATCGCTTCACTTCTGAACAAAACACAAAGACGCAATGCAGTCCGTTCTACAGCCTATTCTTGGTCCCAAAAAGGAGATCCATGATCTCACCGGCCGTGTCGCCCTTATTACTGGCGGTGCGCTGGGCATCGGGTCAGTTCTCTGCAGCAGTATATCCCATTACTAGCTAACTAGGGTTGTAGGTACGAAATTGCCCGCGCATTCGTCCTCAATGGCGCCAAGGTATACATGACCAACCGCAAGGAAGAGCAAGGCCAAGCTGCGATCGAACAAATCAAGAAAGAAGCCGGCGAGAATGCGCAGATTGAGTGGTTTCCCTGTGACATGGGCAACCTGAACGAAATTAAGCAGGTGTTTGAAGATTTCAAGAAGAAGGAAGATCGATTGGATCTTGTGTGTTTACTCACAATATCCTTGAAGATGTCGCAGCTAACATGGGCAACAGCTTATCCTTTCCGCCGGAATAAACGTCAACCAATACGGCGAAACACACGATAACATTGATCGCCATTTCGAGGTCAACTGGCTGGGCCAGTTCTATGTCGTGAATCTGGTGTACCCGTTGCTGAGAAAGACATCCAAGTTACCGAATACCCCTGCGCCCAGAATCGTCTTCGAAACGTCGGAGCAGCATCGCATGGCGCCTAAGAATGTGCACTTTGCGACGCTGGAGGAGATCAACAATCCCGAGGTCGGAAACCTGGAACTCTACGGTCGGACGAAGCTGGCTATCATTCTTGGAGTGAAGTACGGACTGCTGGATCGGGTGATCAAACCTAACAATGATAATATCTATGCGCTGTCTGTGCACCCGGGTGCTGTAAGTATACCAACACCTTCTCTACTAGAAATGGTCGTACTAATGACAAAATCAGGTAAATACGGCAATGCAACAACAATGGAAAGACGCATACCCAGGTCTTCTAGGCAAGCTTCTAACAACAGTAATGCTAGCAGCCGGTCGGACACCCGAGCACGGCTCCTTCAGCGCACTATATGCAGCGACAAGTCCCGAGGTCGAAGAAAAGGGCTGGAACGGATACTACTTCAGTGACCCTGCACAGCCTGGAAAGGAGACTGCCCAGGCGTCGGATCCTACATTGGGTGCGGCATTGTGGGACCTGAGTCACAGAATCATCAAGGAGAAGGTTGGCGATGATGCCATTGTCGACTGGAATGCGAGTGCATGAGCAGATGCAGCACAGCGATGATTGTATGTTATGATAATGATGAATTCAATTCTAGAATGTAATCGTATGCAAGTTACTTTCCGGTGGGGGTATTACCGTGATGTTTCCAATTACTCTTTTTATTGTTTTCCATATAAGAACCATTTCCCTAGAAAATTTGACATATGGTTTACTCCTAGGAATACTCTTATCTCCGCCGGACTTAACATCACAAACCCCTCCTCCCATGCAATCGCACCAATACTCCCCCTCCGGGGTCTGCAACGAAACGCGGCCCCGGCCCGTAACCGGCCTCCCAGGCCCACCGGTCTCTGCTTGAGCAATCCCGACCACCACGGGAATTGGTCACTACTTACTATCCCGTAGTTACTCGCTAAAAGCCGGACGGAAGCTATCTCCGGCAATGAGGATCTCCAGTCAGCCTACGTATAGATAAACAGATAACCCCTCTATTTACCTTCTAATCTCATCTCACTCAATTCCACCCAACTCGCCATCCAAGATACACCAATTTCCGAAACAATGACCTGCGAAGCCTGCCGCACCATCCCCCCCGTGATCTCCTCAGGATACACACCCAAGGGAACTTACATCCAAATCGCCGATCTCAAGACATGTACGTACACCCATCCCCCATTCATCCCATCAATCAATCTACAACCAAGTAAACTAACGTACCACTCTGAAACTCAATAGATATAACCGGCCCCCCAAAAGCCACCACCGGCATAATCGACATCTACGACATCTTCGGCCTGTCGAACCAAACTATCCAAGGGGCAGATCTCCTCGCCGCACGACTCAATGCCCTCGTCCTAGTGCCTGATTTCTTCCACGGCGAGCGCGCAGATCTCGCGTGGTTCCCGCCCGATACGGAGGAGAAGAAGGCGGCGCTGTTTGGGTTTATTAATACGAAGGCGGCGGTTAAGGACAAAGTGGAGGTGTTAAGGAGGGTGGCGGAGGATGCGAGGGGGAGGTTTGAGGGGGTGAGGAGTTGGGGGGCGGTTGGGTTGTGTTGGGGTGGAAAGGTAAGTATTTCTTTCTCTTTTCATAGTTGGATGTATATGGGTGATGCTGATGGTGGGTTTTGTAGGTTACTGCGCAGGTCTCCGGGCCGAATTCGCCGTTTGTTGCGACGGGGCAGGTGCATCCTGGGTATGTTTCCTTTTTCCATTGGGTTGGTGGAGGTGGTTGCTAATGGAAGATAGGTTCATGGATGTCGAGGAGGCTAAGAAGTTGACTGTTCCGCATATTGTCCTTGCGTCGAAGGATGAGCCGGTGGAGGCTGTCAAGGGATACGCTGAGGTCATTGCTGGCAATGGCATTGGGGGCGTGGTCGAGACGTATCCGACCATGTGGCATGGCTGGATGGGTGCTCGTGCTCAGTTGGAGACTCCGGAGGGGTTGGCGGAGTATCAGCGGGGGTAAGTTGTCATTCATACTATTACACAGTAGAAGAAAGAGTGTCTGACGACGATATAGGTACAATCAGCTGGCTGCTTTCTTCGAGAGGTATCTCAAGTCGGAGGCGAAGATCTAGAGGGTTATTAGATCAGTGGAAGGAGAGATGGTGGGTGGAATATATTACGAATATGTACATCACCCAGTATCATGTTTATGGGGTATTGGTTCTAGATATATACCTATTCCTGCCATCAATCAGATAACAAAGCTATATAGAATTTCATAGGTGGTAAAGTTGCTGCCCCGGTAGAAGACTCACCCAGCCGACCGACCCACGTGGTCGGGCGCAGCCGCCAACCAACTCCGACTCCCACGTTATCCCAGAGCAACCATCATATGATCATGACAGCCTCCCCCTCCGTCCTCGTCTTCGGCGTCGGCAGCGTCGGTGCCATTTACCTCCACCAACTGCAACGAGCCGGCTGCACCGTCACCGCCGTCTGTCGTTCCAACTACGACGTCGTCGCTCACTACGGCTTCACCCTGCGCAGTCCCCGCTTCGGCACCGTCACCTATCGTCCCGACCACACCGTTCGCTCCGTGCACGATTGTCCCCGCGATATCCAATACGACTATGTGCTTGTCACAACGAAGGCATTCCCCGGTCGGACGCCCTCCCTAGCGGACCAGCTTCGACCGGTGCTTGAAAATCACCCACACACCGCCATTGTCCTAGCGCAGAATGGTATCGACATCGAGAAGGATATCGCGGACGCGTTTCCCTCCAACCCAGTCATCAGCGGGGTAGTCTATCTGCCCACCGTTCAGACAGAAGCTGGTGTGATCGACCATGCGGAGCCGCTGGATCTCCTAGAACTAGGAACGTATCCGGCACGAGCACCAGAGGAACATACACGGGCGGCGAAGAAATTCGTGGAGTTGATGGTCAAAGGAGGCGGGGATGCGGTGCTGTTCGAGGATATACAAGAGGCAAGGTGGGCAAAATTGCTGCTCAACGCGGCATGGAATCCGATCTGTGCGTTGTCATTGTGTACGGATGGCGGGTTCTTGCTCACTTCGGAGCCGTTTGCGCGTGACTTGGCCTGGGGGATTATGATGGAGATTGTGGCGTTGGCGAGGGCGGTTGGGATTGCAGGGGTAGATGAGGAGGCGGCGAAGAAGAGGTTTGCATTGGCGGAGAGGAGGGCCAAGGAAGGGACAGGGAGGGAGATGAGTATGTTGCAGGATGTGAAGATGGGGAGACCGTTTGAGGTCGAAGCGATCGTGGGGAATGCCGTAAGACTGGGGAGGAAGTGTGGGGTGTCGATGCCCCGGTTGGAGACGGTGTATGCATTGGCCAAGGGGAGGCTGGATGTGTTAATGGGGTGTAGAGTTTGATGGGAGGTGGTCAGTGATCTACTCCAAAACAGTAGACGTAGATTGAATGGTGTGTGCAGGCTGCATGACAGATATCTGAGGCAGCGTGAAAGTGCCTGCTGCTGTGTGAATGCGGCCTTTCACCTGCATACCAGACGCGAGGGGGTGTTTACTCTTTGATACCAGTGACAGCAGGCAACCACCAGGCTGGACAGTGAATGCACTGCTGCCTCACTCAAATCATCTGGTCAAAGAACGCTCGACCAACAAGAGAACCCTCTTCCACTTCGCAGCCATTATTCTCTCACTACTACCAAACCTCCCACTACCATAAACATCCTCTCACTACTATCGAACCTCTTATAACTACTCCTTACTACTGAAATTACCCTGCCTTAAAATGGACGAATCACCCCCCGACTTCTACGACGTCTACCTCACCGAGCAGCACGGCGTGCGCAACCACCTGGCCATCTTCATCGAAACCATCCCCGACGCGGAACCCTTCTGCAACAGCGGTCGGCTCTACCATGTGGTGGGCACCATCTTGCGTGGCATGGACTACGGCCATCGCAACACCCCCGATCCCGAACTGCTGCCCGGTTATGTGATGGACTCGAAGCGCAAGATTGCCGTGATCGCCAGAGACGACGTGATCCGATTCGAGCGGGAATGTGCCGAGGAAATCCCACCTCCCCCAGCTCAATTGACCCTCAGTGGGAAGCCTTTGAACCGGGCCGTGCCTTTGTATCGCTGCACCGACTGGGTGGAGGACGTGGTGCATTTGGCCTTGGAACTGGGCATCTTCAAGAGAGATGGGAAGGAAGGCGAGTTATACTTTGGAACGGAAGAAGATTGACCAAAGGAGACTAGGAGGGTATCTAATCCAATTGTGTTGGGTGGAATGGAATGCAATAATACAATTGGGGATGGATGGGGTCCGGAGTGTGTCAAATAAATGGAAAGCAGCGACAGTATCCACCGGGTCTGGAATGACAAGTTCAGTTGGGGGGAAGCGAGAATGGCTGATGGCTAGAACCGTGGCTCAACATGTTCTGGAACGGAAGGGGAATGCAAAGCAGACAAACAGTGACATTTCCCGCCAACCACGGATAACTGGTCGGATGCAAGTGCCGAGTGGGTGTGGATACTTCCTTCATAGTACAGTTGACTGGTGCCGTTATTCCCGAAAATGAAGCTAGTCCAACAGTAACCCTTACTAGTCTAGTCCGTCAGTCATTTCAAGTTTATTCTGGTTAATACAGTCCATCCATCTCCTGGCTATACTTAGAATCTCTGTAATCTGGCTATAATTATCCCTCATTATAGTCCGATCGATCATATCTGGGGATAATATCCCAGCTCAATCTCCCCTTCCCCAGCTACTTACGATTCATGAATCGAACAGGGACTGCAACGGCCAGTGCCAAGGGGCGAAGCTTTGTGGTGGGGGCTGATCCGCCGTTGTTTCAGAAGCTCCTTTCCTTCAGGGGAGAGTCTGGCCCGAGGAATTCTGCTGCATCCTTCACAAATGAAGTGATTTCCCCGTGGAGACGTGTTCCCTCAATATTCTTCCTCAATGTTCATGGCATCCAATCTAGACTATTGCAGCATTGGACGTGTTCGTGGCCATCTACGTAGCGACTAGAGCGTCGAACCCCTCCCAATCGGTAGAGGGATCAGCATCTGGCCGGGGATAACATCATTTGCTCGGCGCTTCTCCTCTTTTCTAGTGGGTCAACACACCCCTTTAGTCGGAATTCTTTTCTTCTTGCTCTTCCCGCCAATTTTTATTCACTTTTCCCCGGCCCAAGTCGTGCCAACTTCTGCACCGCCGTTACTTGTCATTCGGCCGCTTCCTTTTCCCTTGCCACAGCATGTAAGTGCCCGTTCCGTGGTACGCTTTCCGACAGTTCAGGCACACCCAGGAACACTTCAGAAAACTGAGACAACATTTTCAGGATCCTCTCGTGATTATTGTCATTAGTATGCCTACGGCTCAGCATGTCCAGCCCAGTTGACGAATCCAAAACCCATCTGGGTCCTCCACGACGCGACACCGACCCCTCCAGTGACGACGACCGGCTGGGTAACCGATCGACCAACAATGACGAACGCCCGTTGACCCGCGAAAATCCTCCTCCGCCCGCGGGGGGTAACCAGTGGGGCGTGCTCTTCAAGGCCATCCGCGATGGCACTTCACAACTCGCTGAAAAACTCGGTCGTGATCCTGACGGCGGTGATGGACTGGACTCGGCCTGGCATCCGGAAGACTACGGATTTCAAGAGGATATCGAGATGAGAGAGATGCTCGCCGAGGAGGAACTTGAGGATGCTGCCTACGCCTCTAAGCTGCAGTCGGTGCTGGGTTCTGATGCCAATAATCTCGTCAAGAACCTGGGCTTGGGTGAGACGCCGTCGCGGACCAACAGCAATGATGAGAACCTGGTCGGAGGTGTGCTCTGGCATTTACTCAGTCATCAGATGGGACATAATCCGGAGGAAATTCATGACGATGGTGCTATCCCAGCATCGACAGAAGACGGACTGGCGCCGTTACCTACTGATCTGCGGAAACGTCGGAAGAAGAAGTGGTACGATGAGGATCCAACAAACGACAAAGAAGGGCGGAGGAAAATGAAGGAGGAGCTGTTGACACAAAAGATTGGCTCGCTTCTCACACGCCAGCGCTATATGATCCAGCTGTGTCGCGCACTGATGAAGTTTGGCGCTCCGACGCATCGTCTCGAAGAATACATGCAGATGACGGCCTACCGATTGCGCGTGAACGGTCAATTCATGTACATTCCCGGCTGCATGATTATCTCATTTGACGATCCCCTTACCCGTACTGCGGAGGTCAAGCTGGTCCGGACAAGCCATGGATTGGATCTTGGCCGACTCGGGGACATTCACAACTGCTACAAAAATGTCCTCCATGGCAGATTGTCGCCCGATGAGGCTCTCCCGGTGATGGACGATCTTCTTACGCGAAAGAGCCGGATTCATCAGGCATGGTTGTTGGTCTTGCTGTCCGGTTTCGCGAGTGTGGCGGTGGGTCCGTGGGCGTTCAGCGCGCGCCCGGTCGACATGCCCATCATCTTCGTCCTGGGCTGTCTGCTCGGAATATTGCAGTATGTGCTGGCTCCACGATCGGCGCTGTACTCGAACGTGTTCGAAGTGACCGTGGCTATGCTTACGTCGTTCTTGGCTCGTGCATTTGGCAGCATTTACTACTCCAACGGCGAGCCTATTTTCTGTTTCTCCGCCCTGGCAGAATCATCCATTGCACTGATCCTTCCAGGATACTCCGTGCTGTGTAGCAGTCTGGAATTGCAATCGCATCAGATCGTGGCAGGGTCCATCCGATTGGTCTATACTATTATCTATTCGCTTTTCCTCGGATACGGCGTGACAGTCGGTCTGACGATCTACGGGCTCATGGACGATAATGCGACCACGGCGACAACCTGCCCTTCACGAGATACCAATATCTACGGCAGCGTATACGTGCAGGAATTTGTGTTTGTGGCTGTTTACTGCGCCTTTGCCGCCATCCTCAACCAGGCCAAATGGAAGCAGCTGCCGATCATGTCCTTCATGGGCGTTGCAGGCTACACAACCTACTACTTTACCGCCAACCACTTGGACAGTCGGTTCGGCAGTACGATTGGGGCGTTCACGATCGGATTGTGTGCCAACCTATATAGTCGGGTGTGGCACGGACACGCTGCGGCGGCCATTGTGCCGGGCATGTGGACGCTGGTTTCGTCTGGTCTGGCCAGTAGTGGATCGATCATTTCTGGTCTGGCATATGCAGAAGCAGTGAAGAACGATACCGTTTCGGATTCCACCACAACCAAAACACAAGAGTCACTGGGAGGGTTGGCGCTGAGTATGGTGCAGACGGCGCTGGGAATCACAGTTGGTCTGTTTCTTTCCGCGATGGTGGTCTATCCAGGTGGAAAACGCAAGGGCGGTTTATTCAATTTGTGAATATTGCATCTATGTAGATAGCTTACTGAACATACTCTATGATCTATAATCCTTATATCTATCAATCACGTCCATAATCCCTCGCCACCTTGCGATCTTCCAGACTGACACCAAACTGGCGAATAACCAGCCACGCCGGCAGCAGCGAGATGCCCCAGAGGCCAAAGTTGAGATAAGTCCCACCCACAGAAGCCATGATACCGACACTGCTCAACCCATACTACACTCATCAGCACCATCCACAACACGTCTATCAAAAGTATTGCACTTACCGAAACAGCCTGCACCGCCGACTCCATCCCGCGTAACAACGCACTAATCCGCACCACCTCCTCCTCATCGGCCGCCAAATTGCCCACCACAAAGTACCTATCCCAGTTAGCACAGCACCCAACTCTCACCCCAGGGATACTCACAAAAACATATAATTCAGCTGAAACCCAGCAACCCACATCAAATACAACACAAACCCCTTCGCAAACCCCTCATCCACCCAATCAATCCCACTCCTCCCCTCGTTGGTATACTGCGTTGTGACCACCGTCGCCCAAACCCACCACCCACCCTGCAACCCCAACACCACAAAAAACGCCCCCCGACTCCTCGTCTTCAACCCAAACCGCCTCGTACTATCCAAAAACGCCCCCAACACATTCCCACACACCAGCGCCAACACGCCCGACAAGAAACTCCCCAACGCCCTTACCCGCACACTAAACCACAAATCCAAATACGTGAACATCACCGCCTCCGTATACGTCGCCTGCGCAATCAACGGCACGATACAGAGGAACTCCTTCCGCAAAAACAACCGCGTCATCGCCTTCACCTCATACCACGCGCTATGCGCAATCCGTAACTTCACCTGCATCCCATCCCGTCTCATCACCTTCCCGGGCTCCGTCAACAACAACCCCGCCACCGGCCCCAACGCCTGCAAGGCAATAAACACCCCGAAGACAGCATAACTCACACTCCCCGCTGTATTCCGATGCACGTTTAGTCCCAGATTAATCGCCCCGCCGAGGATCTGGCCCCCGACGCGGAAACTCAACCAGAGTCCTAAGAACCGGCCTTGGTTCTCTGGCTCCGGGTAGGATAGCGCGATCGCACTCTCCGCCATCCAGAATATCCCCGCTGATAGTCCACATACCGCTGCGCCGAAGAGAACTAGCCAGTCCGTTCCGAATCGGTTGTGTGTGTACAGTCCTGCTGCGTACGGCGCGTACCCGATTGTGCCGAGGATGAGCGTCCATTTTATTCCGACGAGACGGACGACGACGCTCCCGAAGAAACAGGAGAATACCATTAGTCCGAAGGTGAGGGCGTTTGCCGCGTCAACGAGGTAGGGACTTTCGGAACCACCGCCGCCGAGACTGTTCATTGCTGTCCAGATTCCCGGCGCGAGGAAGTTGCAGAGGCCGAGGACGAGGGCGTTGTAGGTTGTTGAGCGGTACCATTTTACTATTATATTCATAGTGTTAGTAGTCGGTATGGGGAGGGGGGAAGAAGTGGTTGTATTGATGTACCTTTGTGATCCCGACTCGGCTCGAAGGGGGTAGAGGATGGTGTATCTTGAACTTCCTCATCCGTTAGGGATGGTTGTTTTTCGAGTGACATTTTGCTCAAATGTCCACTAGTTATTAGTATAGATACAATCTAGTAGAAAACTCCCAGAGGGAAAATTAGGGTACATGCAAGGGTATAGTTAGTATATATACCCTCCGATACCAACACTACTACACGGCATAGATAGTACTCCCCGATCTCGGTAAGTATCCGTGATCCTTGCATGACATGACAGCAAGGAGCGCAATCCAACCACTGACATTGGGTATTGGGGTGAGGTGTCGGTCGAGACTGTCGTGGATGTTGCAGTTTGAGGGGGTGATTACGTGCTCGAGCACGGCATTTTAGTGTGCGTGGGGAGGACATGATTAGATAGATTTATCGATGTTGTTTAGTAGGTAGGTGATCGCGCAATATATGTCACTGCTTGCATGTATTACTTTGTGGAGCTAGTACTTAAGTGAACTAGTACGCTAAGTAGTTAGTAGGTAATATGTCCTGCCATTCTCCCATCATTATCCATGCTATCTATCCATCCTTATCGATAAGACCTAGTATAACATCAACCCTAACCACTTACACAGTAGTAGTAACATCATCCTCATGAAACACCAACGCCCTAACCTCAATACTCTCCCTCCCCTCCTCCCCCTCCGTCCCCGGCAACTCAAACGCACTATGCGGCACGCGTCTCGCCCGCCCATCCGTCTTCGAATCAAAGCACTTAATCAACGTCACCAGCTCCGGACCCTGTCTATACCGATAATACCACTTGACCTCGGGGTTCGGCTTGACCGCACATGTCTCGCCCTCGCGGTTGGGGTAGATTAGCTTCGTCGGAACGAGATCGCTATCCGGGACGGTATGGGCGTCCGCTACTGCTAGTGGATCGCGTCTCACGGTCTTGATGGGTCGCCACACATTAATAATCTGGTATCGGCCACGAAGCAGTCGGGGAGCGTCCTCCGGGAGATGGTATTCTACGCGGTCTTTGGCGGCGCGGTAGGATTGGTCGATGTGTACGCGGTTCACGGGGCCGCGGAGTTGGGAGCTCGGTGTGTTGGCTGGTTGGGGACGGCGGATGGTGTGGTCGAAGATGAAGATGCGGGAGGCGTTGGTTCTGATGGCTGGTTAGGAGTGGAAATGTGAGGTATAAGGGATGGGGATGGACGTACGCGTCTTTCAAGAGTTGCTCGGTTTCGGGGTAATATTCTCGCTTGATCTTTTCGTCGTCGAGAAAGTCCTTCTCGGCACTGGTGTGGTAGTAGAATTGGAAGCCGTTGCCGTCCAGCGTATAGTCGAGTTCGTGGCCGCTCACGTCGTTGATGGTCACTGGGATGGATATGCTGGGTCGGTCGTAGCTGCTTGGGACGCCTACGTAGGTTGGGGCCAGGTGGGAGCCATCGGGAAGTTCTCTGAGGAAGTTGAGGGTGGTGTGGGCGTGGTGAGGGCCGGAGGTGGAGGAGGGAGTGGGTTTGGAGGGGACGGTGGAGGCGTCTCCGGTGGGAGTTTGAACTGCTGCGGAGGCCATTGTATCCTAAGTAGCTAGATCGTCGCTAGTAATTTGATTGAATAGGGTTGATGTTGATGTCTGAATGTATTGTAGAGATATCCGGTGCAGATCCGGGGCAGTTATATATATGGTTTATCCGCATTTGTCAGAAGCACGCCATCCGAGCAAGATACTGCGTCTGGCGCTGATAAATCCAATCATCTATTCCAGTACTTCTGGCATGACATGCAAGGTCGCATGTGATGTTACAAATTATTAATATGTTGGAAACTGTCTTTGTGGCTTGATTTCTAATCAGGATCTACGATCCGATCAAGTATACGAACGCGCAAGCTTGGTAATCTTGGTCCCGTCATCCAGCACCTCATCTTCCTCTTCCAGTTTATATCCGCCCCAGCGTGGGAGTAGAACTGTCCAGATGTACCAGTAGAAAATTCCGAAGATGATACTGTTCTTGTTAGTCATGCTCATTGACGGCAGGGGTATACGTACACTCCCATTCCCACGATCGCATATGTCGCGTAGAAGAAATTAACATCGCTCTTCCCGTCTGCTGGAGGGAAAAATGGCGCAGAGAGTAAAGCGACGCAAACTACGACTCGTAGCCATACTGCTGGTAGCCAGGCCTTGAAGGGCCGTGGGAGAGACGGTTCGCGGTATCGCAGCAGCAGGAGACCCACTGTAACTGCGAGACTGAAGACCTGTCCTGGGTAGCCTTCAACATCGAGAATGAAGTTGTACACGTCTCCTTGGGGTGGAAGGGCGATGACCAGCAGAGAAGGTATATAGTGCACGATGAGGCCGCCAAGGGGAGCACCGAATGGCTTTGAGGACGACAAAACTCGAGACCAGGGAAGGAACCCCTGTCGGGCGATCTCTTGGTTTACGCGGGCCTATTCATTAGCCTCATTCACTGACATATCATAGAGACTTACCAAGGCGTAAGTAACTACCATGACATTGCCAGCAGCGGAAAGAGCGATGGCCAGGGGAAATAGTGTCCGTCCGATGTGGCTGCCAAACAGCCGCTCGAAGAGCAGACCAGCGACTAATTCTCCGCTGTTCTTGATATCTTCCAGCGGCACGACGAGGAAGTACGAAATATTGGCAAGAAAGTACAAAGCACCAGCGGTGAGAAGCGCCGCCGGACATACCGTTTTGATCGTCCGGATCGGATTCTTCACCTCGCCCAGAACGTTATTCACGTTGTTCAATCCCGCGTATGAGTAGAACACCTTGAACAAGGACGTGGACAGCAAGTTCCAACTCCAGTTGGAATCCTCCCACAATGTGTCCCACGAGAACACGCTGGTCGGTTCAGGGGTGAGAGCGTCAGGGTCACCGTGAGGGCGAAGCAAGATCACCCAAATACCGGTCAGGGAAATGGCACCAATGAGGAATATCTTCACCCAGCCGAATGCGTTCTGAATCCAGATGCCAGTGCGAAGAAAGCAGCCATGAATGATTGTGACAGCAGTCATCAACCCCACCGCTAGGGCTTTGTGCTGGAGCTCCGTGGGCACCACATTAAAAGCGAAGAACGTATACTTGGCGAATACGATGCAGTTGCTGGCCGTAAAACCCAGAACAACTGCCTGCACTGCGATCAGGGTCGACGCAAGAAACCGAGGACGCGGATAGGTATACTCCAGGTATACCTAGATAGACTTAGCTTGGTCTACATCAGGGACAGTGGAACTACCTTTTCTCCTCCTGATCGCGGCAGCATACAGCCATATTCCATCGACACGGCCAGCGCGCAGGCTGCCAGAACGGTCCCGACTGCCCATATCAATAGTGATAAGCCGACACTGCCGGCAGATTTGACGATGGTACCGGGTGTTGCGAAGATGCCGCTCCCAATAACTCGCGAGACTACCAGGATGTATGCGCTGATCCAGGTAAGATGTTTTCGCTGTCCTGTGGTTGGCAGGACATCACTGGGCACGTCATCCGAAGAGTCGCCAGGTACGCTCAATAGAGGTTGTCGTTCACCGTACGCCATCATGAATTGTGCAATATGAGATTAAACCCGACCAGCTATCAGTCAGGCGAGTTACCTTCATAAAGGCAACCTCGCTGAGCAGACGCTGACATTGCTTGGAAATCATGGCCGATTACTGGCAGGCACGTCATTCCGACCGCAGCTTGTGTGTTGATAAAGGGCCTGCTGATAGCCAGCAAGGGTGACATGGCGTGTAGGTCTCACGGGATATCAGATGCTGGGTATGTCAATGGCTTTCTACCATTACTCTGCATTTACGGTGATTCATTTACGATCGATCACAAGGAACTTGGAGACATCAAATATTCTTGTCCTGCCTCCACTCGACCTCGCCTACTGTGTCCAACCCAGCGACGATGTTGCTCCAAAAAATGGTACCGGTCGCTGTTCCTTGTCTCCGTATCACATCATTTCTGATGAAGTTGATGCCAGCGCAGGTTCTGATTCGCCGATCCCAGTCAGGGGTATGTACGTTGAGCACTCAGGGCTTCCGCGATCCCCTTGCAAGTCCGTACATCACCACGACACAAATATAGAAGCCCCACGACCAAGTCTCATTTTTTTGGCATGCTTCTATTCTTTTAAACCTCCCTCCTGGTTACCATAATGTGGTATTCGAACAGTTTGATGATGCCATCGGTACAAAACTTTATCACGCCATCCCGACCCCGCCCGGCGCAATGCAGCAACTGCCCTGAACCGCCAAGTGATCGCGAATCCAACCGGCATATGGCGCGCAATGCACGATTGCCACGGCTCTTATCTTGATCAAGGATCTGCTGGCCCGTGTCCGAGAGACCCCTCTCACTGGTGGTTATTTCTCGGCCGGGTAGGTATGCATATCTATAACTGCCCAAGTGACCTCACATTCAGTCGTCTGAAGCAAACTGAACAGTATCACTGAACTGCAATAATGACCACGATATCAACTTATACCCTCCCTGCATCGGTTGAGGAAAAGTACACCACGGTGTACCACCGGGAGTTGGTCTTGGAGCAGCGAACAGACCCTACTTATACTACCCAATCGGCACCCACTGCTTCGATCATACCAGCCAAGACGACTCAACGTGCACTGCTTCTACATGCTGCGGGGGAACAATATACCCTGGTGACTGATCATGCCATCCCGGAGATCTCTCACAAGGACGAGATCTTAGTTAAGGTACTGAATATCCTATCGTGGCTTCTCGTGGCTTGACTAACATCGACAGATTCAAGCAGTTGGGTTAAACCCTGTCGATTGGAAGGGCCCGTAAGTGTACCGCAGAAACGACACTTCTCAGCTAACACCATCAGAGCCTTCAACTTCGGCCTTCCCAGTCTACCATGGATCAACGGTCGGGATCTCGCAGGTGAAGTGGTTCGGGTCAACAATGAGAATAGTCGGGTTCGTGTCGGCGATAAGGTGCTGGTTCCATCGACAGACTATCGTGATATTCGGAAAGCTGCCTTTCAAGAATACGCCGTCGCTACCCACTTCAACGCTGCACGTATACCATCGAACTCCTGCATCCACGCTTCTGCCTCGCTCGGTGTTGCCTTTGTCGCTTCTGTCCTAGCTCTTGGTGTATCGCTTGGTCTTGACTTTAGGGGGTGCGCCCAGGCCCCGGGTCCGAATTTGCAGGATACGGTCGCTCAGCTTGATATCAACGATATACCCGCCGATATTCGTGGGGAATGCTTTTCATCAAGTGCGGTACCGGAGCGTCTCAGGAAGGGTGACTGGATTGCTATTTGGGGAGGTAAGTTGCCCCTTACTTATTCAGATTATCGCTGACTGTCATAGCATCCACTACAACTGGATACATCACCCTCCAACTCGCCAAGCTTGCAGGACTCCACGTCATCTGTGTAGCAGATATCGCCCGCCACGGCTCGCGACTTCATCAACTCGGTGCAGATGTTCTTGTTGACCGACAAGATACGGAACGAGCCGTATATATCATACGCGGAGTCACCGGGGGTAAGCTGCGGTATGCTGTTGACATTGTCGGGGCAGAGACGGCGACACTACTACAGCGCACACTCGACCATACTATCCGTGAGGACGGATCCCATTCCCATTTACTAGGGTTGACCGGTCTTCCAAAGGAAAGAAACGAGGCATTGGTATATCACACTGTTCCGATCAAGCTGTTCCACACATCGCCGACCGTGGGAGAGCAGATGGTCTCTTGGTTGGAGGGATTGCTCGAGACAGGAGCGTTGCAGCTGCCGGAGGTCGTTCGACATGAAGGCGGGCTAGGGAGCATCAATGAGTCGTTGGAGGTGTTGCGCAAGGGAAGTGTGTCGGGGAAGAGGATAGTTGTTGATATGGCGGAGTAAATGGCTGTTCTTTCAACAAAATTCCTCTCTTTCAGTTGTACATAGAATGGATATTATCATGCTACATATGCAATAAAATGATTTAGACGGATGAAAACGATTGTGGAATATCTCCTATGTGCACCGGCAGCATCTCCAACCCTACAAAATTACCATCCCGAACAACTCTACTGACCACAAAACCAACAAGATCGTAACTGAATCCCAAGTCAAACCCATTATCACACAATATCCTTATCAGATACTGACTAACAGCTACAACCGCAGTTACACAGCACCTCTACCCCTCCTTCCCCTCACTTCCGAGACTACCACAGTTGGCACCATCACCACCGCATCTGGCGCAATCACGCGGCAATCGCACGTCTTCCACTTGGCCTTGCATACAACCCGCAAATCACAGCCACTCGCATACCTTCTCGTCCGAGTACTACAACTGAGGGGCATTGTTATCACGGGCTATACTGACACGGGAGAAATTAGTGCAAGTTGCACAATACACATACGAGATACCCACTGTGCGACGACGCTTTATAAACTCACGCCCTGGCCTCGACACTGGAATAAATACTATCAATATTTTTTTTACAGTTCCCTCACTCAAGATCGACTATCCTGATTAACTCATCAAGTATTGCAACATGGGCTCCGCCGAGAAAAAACAACTCATCCTCAATGCCTTCGCGATGCAATCGCCATCACACCTGAACCCAGGCCTGCACCGCTACCCCAAAGACCAAGGCCACAAGTACACCTCCCTACAGAGCTGGATCCGGGTGGCACAAAAGCTCGAGGCGGCCAAATTCCACGCTATCTTCTTCGCCGACGTCCTCGGCGGCTACGACGTCTACAAAGGTCCCGCGAACCTCGACCCGACTATTCCTGCGGGCGCGCAGTTCCCTATCAATGATCCGCTGTACAGTATCCCCGCTATGGCGGCTGCTACCGAGACGATTGCGTTCGGTGTGACTGCGTCGACGACATATGATGCGCCGTACGCCATGGCGAGACGCTTCTCTACTGTTGACCATTTATCCAACGGTCGGGTGGGATGGAACATCGTCACGTCGTACTTGGAGTCTGCGGCACGGAACTTCGGATTGAATACCCAGATTGAGCATGATGAGCGGTATCGCATTGCGGATGAGTATCTCGATGTGACGTATAAGTTGTGGGAGGGGTCATGGCGCGATGGGGCTGTGTATAAGGGGGAGGATCGCGATGGGGTGAAGGGGTATGCGGACCCTAAGGCTGTGAGACAGATTCATCACAAGGGGAAGTACTTCAATGTCCCCGGGCCGCATCTGTGTGAGCCGAGTCCGCAGAGGACTCCGTTCTTGTTGCAGGCGGGTACCTCGTCGGCGGGTAAGGCGTTCGCGGCGAAGCATGCCGAGGCGATCTTTTTGAATGGACAGACGCCGGAGTTGGTCAGGCCGAGTGTTGCTAGTGTGCGGGAGCAGGCGAAGGCGCTGGGACGCGATCCCGCTGGGATCAAGATTGTCGCGGGTGTGTTGGTCATTGTGGCGGAGACGGATGAGGCTGCGCATGCCAAGTTCGAGGAGTATGCGAGGTATGGCGATCGCGAGGGCGCGTTGGCGCTGTTTGGAGGCTGGTCTGGGTATGATTTGTCGACATACGATGATGAACAGGATTTCCGATTCGTGGAGCAGCCAGCGGTGCGGAGTATGGTTAATCACTGGGCCAGTACGGTGCCGGGGATGGAGGGGAAGAAGTGGAACAAGAAGACCATTGCGGATTATTTGATTATGGGTGGCAATGGATGCAAGATTATCGGTGGACCGAAGACAGTCGCGGATGAGTTGGAGAGATGGGTGGAGGTTGCTGATGTGGATGGGTTTAATCTCAGCTATGCCAGCATCCCTGAGACGTTTGATGACATTATCCAGTATCTCGTGCCGGAGTTGCAGGCACGCGGGATCTTCCACACGGATTATGCAGTCAAGGGCGGCACGATGCGCGAGAATATGACGGAGCAGAAGGGACAGACGAGATTGCCTGAGTCGCATCCGGGCGCAAAGTATTTTTGGCGTGAGGGCGAGGAGGTGCCTAAGTATGCGGAGGGTCAGTGAGACGGGTTGACATGATAATGTAACGATAAGCAGAGAATGAGATGAAACTGTCGAGTATTTTTCTCTATGCGTGTGATAGATTCAGTGTGATCTTAGCTTCCAATTCGACTGGGAAATTGTCAGTCGACATCGGAATAGCCCGATAAACAAGAAACCTTGAAGATAAGGGCTTCGTGTACGTCACCCTTGGATGTAAATCTCTCATAAAGAATAAGCATGGTGCCAGAGCCGAGATCTTGCCTATGCCACAGCACAGTTCTTGTGGGTTACCACATCTGTAGATTTCAATGGCCACCGCAAAGCTAGTACAACCTGGGGTAGCGCTCGGATAAGTCGGGTCAGCTTGGATCGGGCATTCAACCGATCTCATTCCCAGAACAATAATTCGCGCATACACTCATGTATTGAGTTTGCAGATGGAAGAAAGACTATAGTTGGGAATTATGGTGACAGTATCTCATGCATCTTAGATATATGTGGTTAGGTTCGGGTGGAGCAATTTTGATGATATGCTGGCTGTTCGTCTCTGTCAAAGTGTTTTGAGCCCTAGGACGCTGCATGTATGGCGTTTATCAGATCGTC